AGCTGAAATGGTTCGTGAAACGGGGAGCAAACTCAGCTCCTACACTTTAGTAGAACACATGAATTTTTTCAGAGATGTGTGCACGGAGCATTTCAGGAGGCATTATTTAAGAATGGGAGGTTCTGGTAAGGTAGTGGGGATTGACGAAACGCTCCTTACCAGGAGAAAATACAATATGGGTAGGGCGGTAGAGAAACAGAGGTGTTTTGAGGGCATTAAGCGAAGAACCAATAAGTGTTTCGTCGTTCCAGTTTAACGACGAGATGCTGCTACCCTTCTCCCACTGATCAGGCAGTATGTTGTTCCAGGAACGACTATAGTGTTTGACCAGTGGGCGGCATACAGCACCATTAAAGAAATGCCGGAGGGGTATCAGCATGAAACTGTTTACCACATCCTCCACTTTATTGATCCTGAGACCGGTGCTTATACAAACAGCATTAAGTCTCTATAGCAGAAGTTTAAACAGGGGCACAGAGCAAGGTGTGGAACGGAGAGGGCACTTTTGCAGTAATGCATGGACGAATTTGTATGAAAGACAATATATGGGGACAACGCATTATACCATCTTTGGTCTCAAATTTAGGAGCACTATCCACCTTCTCGTGGCGCAGTGTGAAAGTGAGAGTCTTTTATCGGCTCCTGACCGATCAGCAACCGATCATCCAATTTTTTGAAAAGCCCTTTATTTGAGGGGCGCTAATTGAGTCGCACCTTATTAGCCTGTCTACCCTCAGGTTGCTGTGAGAGGTCAAACCCGACCATAGTTTCTCATTGCTACCAATGCCATCCACCGTATCTCAAACTTGGGTAATTAAACCACTTTTTCCATGTCTGTCGTGACGTCATCGTCTCAACCGTCTTATACTGCAATTGCATACTCCTCACCAACCGCTCTGTCCTCACCTTCGCAAAAAATTTCAAACCCGTCTATAATGTCTCACTGTTGTGTATAAGTCTTGAAGTGCACACTACCAGGTTTTCCCAGGAGAACAAGACTTTGCATTTCTGAAGTTGAGGTTGGCACTATTGACATGTCTCCTCGGAGCTTCAAGCTGCGACGGCAGCGACGCCGCTGTAGTCGCAGTTTGCGATATGGAAGGACCTTGAAAGAATCCCCAGCCATGGGGCCGTCAAAGTGCAAGAGCTCCGGTTAGCGCCCGGCATACGAGGGACTTTCCAAAAATTTTACTGTCATAGGGCAGACCAATCAGAAGCCGAAAGGCAATCCCGAACTTTCAGACGCTTCGCTGTGGTCAGCCCTGCTGCGCCGCCGCTGCCGTCCCCTTCGTTGCCGTCCACTTCCCCTTTGG